AATATTGAAGAAAAAAATATTCAATAAAAAGAAAAGTTGAAATAAAGACCAAAGCGCAAAAGACCACCTCTTAAGTCTAAAATTTAGGCATAACAAAACATTCATAAATAAGAGTCTGAATTAGATTTAGATATAAAATTAGCTGAAGAAAATATTTTAGAGCAATAATAAAACCCAGAGATACAAATTGATGTTTAACAGCATTCAATTGAGGATGAGATTGGTTAATAGAAGTAGTAGAAAAAGCCATAAAAAAATAAGAAGAGAAAAAGAAGAAGAAAATAGGATAGTGAAAATGAGTATGGAAATACCAATGATGCATTTAGTGATATAGATCTAGACATCCTCTCTATTATTCATGAAAAGAGATAAAAGATTAAGGAGCAACTCTTTCTTGACATCGAAATTGATAAATAGTTAATAATTCCTAGTTAGTAGTGTAGTGATGAAAATTAACAAAATATAACCGTTGATCTAAATGATTAACAAGAAGACAATCAAATTTTGAGGTGATCTGGCAGAGCTAAAGGAACTGCATCTGTTTCAAAAAGCGAGTTTTAGATGATAAAAATAGACAAGCCAAAGCCAAAAAAGAAGAGAAATCTCAAATTATAAGCAAAAGATGCTTTATCTAATGAAGTATAGCAAATTCAAGAATTAGTCAAAAATCTTGACAGTGGAGATGAGACGGACAGCATTTTAAATCTTGATCTAAGTCATTAAGACAATACGGCTAACTTAGAAGAGTTAAAAGAAATATAAATTTCGGTATCTTTAACTAAAACACCAAGCAAAGAAGATAAAAGTAGTCCTTAAGATTAATATGAAGATCTACAAGCAAGTTTTAATAAATGCAAAAATTTAACGATGGTTTTGGCTAAGGACACCCCAACAAAGCCGCTTGTAATTGAAAATATATTTGGCATGAGCTTGGGATGGCCAACCGTTGAAAATAAAATAAGAATATAAATACCCTAAATTTTTCAAATATCCAATAATCTTAACAATTATAATAATAAGATAGTTGGAGGTAACTAGTAAGATTAACTCGCGCAATAAAAGCATCTATCACAATGAAATTTAAGGGAA